ACACATTATAGCTTCATGGGGACAGGAGAGTTTAAATTAGAGGACCCTCATGTACTGTATGTGTTGACTTCAGATATTTTTCTTCGGGGAAAATATTTTCTTATAAAAGATTGGGGAGGGGTCATTTTTTTTACCGATCTCCATACTTTCCCTCTGTTATGGGGGAAAATAGAGTAATGCTATGCCCTAAAGAGAAAACTAATATAACACACTCAAATTTATACAAACATCAAAACTGTATTAGTAAAATATAAGTTTAAAGTGTTCATTACAATTGGGTTTTATTTACTTTACATATAATTTATCCAAAAAAAAAAAAAAATGTTTGAAATACAAGAAACGGATGATATATCATCGTTGTTGGCACTGGTTGCTGTACTTAGCTTACGTGAGCTACATTACTCTTCATCGCAATATTGGATTCTGATGCTTTTTTTTGTTGACTTCATATTGTAAATCAAACAAAAAAGCAGGAATTCGAAGTTAAATATATGCATTTTACATACATAATGATTGAAACTAACAATTTAAAATAATTATGTATTTATCCTCAGTTGAAATTTGCAAAGAGATCACCTCAAAAACAACATACGAACGAAAGATAAAATCTTTGTTTCTGACGGTGACTGTAGACTTATGATGACATTTGCTACCTGGTCACATCAATCAGACATTCACAATACCATTTTGTTTCGAGATACCTATGTGAGCGGGATTGTATATTGAGCGTCGTTGCCAAATTTCTCTTAAATAACTAACAGGAAAGTAAAATGATTAATTTTCAAGTGAAAAATTCGAAGATTATTAATCAAAATTTCAGACAGTATTAAATCAATTTAAAGTAAATTAAAATGTTATTTATTATTTATTAAATTAATAAATTTTAGTATAGACTATGCGTTCTGGCAAGAACTAAAAAGGTATTTCTCAAATTTTGATTATGTTAACTCTTTACCAATTCAGTCATCTTTACACGACAGTGTAATGTATTCTTTACCTGTTTGGTACACTTCTCATTAAGACTACAACGAATAAAATTTCATTTACAATTCATTAAGCTCATCTTATTCCTAAATTGTTCAACTAGCAATTCACTGATTACACATGAATTAGAGAAACCTTCTCTAAATGCTAAATTAGTTAAACGAATGTTTTCCTTCCAGTATACAATTTAACATCATAACCGAAAATGCTAAAGAGGGAATAAAGGTAAAAAATAAATCCTCCCCCGAAGATTTTTATATTTTTGGACTCGGAGGATCTTGAAATGTCAAGAAATGTAAAAAATTTGGGGATTGTTCTGTGTGTATGGATGTTAGTGCGTGTGTTAGAGAGGACACGATTTTGTTCATTCACTTCAAAGTTTAATAACTCTTGTACCTTTTGTCGAAAATTCCTGGAGGTTTATGTATTAAGCGGGTTGATACTAGTAAATTTGATGGTTAAAGATGACAGGTGGCGAGATACAGGGGTACCATGTGTCATATCTCGTATGGGGTCGGATTTAACGATGAATTTACTCGTCATTATCACTTACAATTTGTTTTAAAACTCATCTCTACCCTCAAAATTAAGCTTTTTGTTATTTTATAATAATTAATAATATAAATATTTTAAAAATAAAATCTTATAACAGATGGCGCCACATACAGTTTTAACTCTCGCCGGAAAAGTTATGCAACTCGTTGTTAGGTTTTTTTAAAATTCTATATGTCAAAGGAAATTTGAGTTCAACTCACACGCGTATAAAGACTGTTAACTGTATACAATGAGCCAGAACTATTTTAATATTTAAAAACGTAAATAATACAAGTACAGTAGTTATAAAACTTTTTAAAATATGAAATTATAGCCTTAAAAATATCAGTGAATATACAAAACTCTATATAATATTAACTTTTAAGAAAGTTAAATGTTTAATATCACGCAAGCTTCTCTTTCATTATTGAACTGTATTATTTACAACACATTTACTATTTATTCAATGTCCTTGCACAAGAGATAATAAATTTCCCTAAAAATAACTTTTATAAATAGGCCTTATAATAGTTTTTTTTGCATTTAAAAATGGTAATACTTTACGTTCGATGCATTAAGATTATAATTACTGAAGTAGAAAAAAATATACAATTTATAGTTTAGTAAATTGCTTTTGAAACATTTTTTATGGTTATTTTTCGAGTTTAGTGGAGTGAATTGAGTGGAAACCATTGCAAAAAAAATCGATGATTTTTGCGATATGATGCGGAATTTTTCGGATAATCGTAAACAATTTGTCCAATTCGGCCATTTTTACACAGTTTACTGAAGGAAATTACAAAATTAATGAGGTTACAATTGTTTTACAAGAAGAAACAATGTTTATTTCCGTAAAGCAACGTGATTAAGTGCCAAAAAAAGTATAAAAATAATGAGAAATGTGACATTACAACTGTTTCCACCACGCGTGCAATTCTTCTAACACATTTTCTTTTTCGCCCTTGCCACTTTTTTCTTCTTATCTTTTTAAATTAATTACAAGTTTTTCCCTCTTACTAATAATTGTAATTTATGTCTAAAGTATAGTTTTAACTTTCTGTAGAAGATATATTTGTTTTTTTTTTAAATGCATTTTTGTATTCTTACTTCATCTTCTAAATCGAATGATAATAAGAGTTTTACTTCATCACAAACTGCTTAATTTGATTTTAACTCCTAAACAGGACCGTTAGTGTGATAAAAAGAGAAGACAATTACATAAAGCCTGACCTGAATCTTGATTATCTTCTCGAGAAGCTTAAAAAAAAAAGTAGATTAACGTCGTTAATACTTTAAATAAAAACTTCACTTTGTAAAACTGTCGTAGGAAGAATGTGTGGTGATAAAATAAATAGTTGTTTTTCTCTTCGGATTTTATAAGAATTTTATATTTAAAACAGTTTAATTCTGTAAAAATATCTGTAAATTAAAACGTGGACAGTTTTTTTAACAGTTAAAATTGAATTTAGTTGTTTGTGCTAACGCTAAAACATATGACATGAATTTCTTCTTCGGTAATAAAATCCAAACTTTTCATTTAATAAAAGTTCTTATTATAACTATTAAATTAAATCAAGATTCATAAGTTAATTTCTTAATGTATAAATCCTGATTTAATTTAAAATTATTTAATGGTATTTAATATTTAAGTTAAAAATCACGAGTTTAAAGCTAGGATCTTTAATATGGATCCTCGATTTATGTTTTTATATTATATAACAACAAGGAAATTAATTAATTTATGTGATGCTTAATACGGGATTTTTTATTATTTAGTATCCACATTAAAGATTATGGTTATGAATTAGGTCATTATGCTCGATTTTATATCATAAACTGTAGATCTTGAAATAATTTAAATCACTTAATGGTGATAAATCGAGGATCCTGACTTAATTCACAGTCAGGATCCTTGATTTAACAACGTAAAATACGGATCATTAATTTAAATTTTTATATTTTATAACGAAAAGGGAAAAATTGTTATTTTATGTGATTCTTAATAAGTATTTTTACATGTAGATCATTTACATTTGGGGATAAATATCTTAGTTTAAATATTTAAAAAAAATTCTTATTTTAGTAATATTTATATTTTATATAAATAAATCCTAGTTTAAATAATAATTTTAGTTAAAACGAGACGTTTAAAGCAAGCATTTTCAAGCTGTCAACTACAAAAATCGATTATTCAATTCATTTTATATCAGGTTTTGGATTTAATAATAAGACTTTGCTTTAGAATTCTCGACGCATTAATAAATTCTTGTAGAACAAATTTATTTAATTAATGAATATTTATTGAAATAAATTATAGTAAATGAATTAAAATTATTGATTTAATAATATAATCTTATGGTGGTTATATTATTGAAAACAAGATCGACTTTGCAATATATTTTCGTATTGATTTTTATAAAAATTTACTCTAATTTATTATCTGAAATAATTTAATTTTAATAGAAGTATGTTTTAGTTTTATAACGAATTATTTATTATACAGTCGACCCCCTATAACACTGTTGATTATTCCGTTTTATATGAATTTCATGTTGTACGAGTCACTTAGATTTTACAAATATGTGAACCGTTCACAGCCTGGCACACGTATTTGTAAAATCTAAGTGACTCGTACAACATGAAATTCATATAAAATGGAATTATCAACAGTGTTATAGGGGGGTCGACTGTACCTTACAATTATAATTAAAGGTATTTATATTGAGAAATATTAAAGGATATCTTCGTTTAAAGTAAGATTCGTTATAAAAGAATTTAAAGCAAAGATTTGAAATGTATTTTATTACGTAAAAATCCGTACTTTAAACATAAATAAATACTCCTGTTTGATATTTATGAATTATATAACAAAATTCTCTTAATTTTTAAATAGAATTAGAGTGCTTTAGATATTAATTCGCTTCTAGAAATGGAAAATTTGATACTGTTTTATACATTTTCAGTCATTCAACAAAACAGTTAAATATAATATATCTAAATTTAGATATTTAGATGGCTTTGTTGTATAGTTTAAAAAGAATTTTATCAGCATGAAGCATTTATCTCTCTCTCACTCTTTGTAATCTGATATACAGTATTTAGATGTATAAAGTATCGTATTCCTTTGAGCAGCCGGTCAATCATCTTTAATCCAGTTGTTACTACTTCCTTTATTAAAAATTAATTATTATAATATTTTACTGTAGAAAGTACTCATATTTTATATTTTTGTTCGATAAAATACATAAATTAATTAATATTTTGAATGGAAAACTATGGTCGCTTTACAGTAAAATGGACTAAATATGGCACCTCCTGGTTTGAATGCGCTACTTTATATATCTATCTACATTCAACAGCATCGATCCCTTTCTTTAAAAAAAAAATTATTTAAATATTATTCATTCTTTTACTCATATTATAAATATAAATAATTGGTTTTATATAATATCATTTTTGCAGTTTAATGTTTTAAATTACAGGAAAGATATTCCAATTCATATTTTGGACAACGAAAGTTACGAAAAAGATTCGGTGTTCTACGTAGAAATTGGTGAACCAAAATTAGAAGAAGGTAATAATTAACCTTTTATATATATTTTAGGCCATCCGACAGATTTAATTTGTGTTTTCTTTCTCAAATTTTAGACTTGATTAAAGAGGAAACCGGCCAAATAAACAACGAACCATCATCTCCTAATGGCGAAGCATCAGAAGCAGATAAGCTAGCAATGTTAGGAAAACCCAGATTGGGAGAATATTACAGATGTCAAATAAGGATTAAAGAGAGCCGCGAGTTTAAGGTATACTTAATTAAACTAAATTTTAATATATTAAGCATTATGATCGCAGCATAAAATTAAAAGTAAATGGTTAAACAGAGTCTCATTAAAATCCTACAAATATTTAAAAATAAGAATATGAATAGAGAAAATTTAAAAATAAATAAAATCTCCTGTCAAAATGGATTTAATTTTATATGAATAATTTATTTACTATCGAAATCTCAAAATTAATTGGTTTAAAAGTAAATTTTTCAGTTATTATAAGGCTTTATTCTCGTAGAAATTTGGGAAAAATTGTGAGTTACGTAACGTTACACTGGCTTTATCATTTACAGTTATATGAAATCCAATTTTTGGAAGTCATCTTAATCCTTAATCCTTGGAGTATTGAGGATTCTTTTTGCTATTAATCTTTATAAAGACACCAATGAGATTAGTCGAGATATGTTTTTTTTTTTCTTTTACATCTAAATCCTAGTATTTTCTATTGGGATAGATCAATAATAGTTAAAAATCTAAGGGAATGATGTCGATTTATAAATTGATTTTTGATTATATTTACCATTAGTTTTCTTTATTTCTTTACAGAATACTGTCGATAAACTTTTCGAAAAAGCAAACGTCTCATTGATGATAGGTACATCGTCGTGGAGGGAACAGTTCTTAGGCGTTATAACTGTTAATACAGGTAAAATTTATGTTTAATTAATCAAGTTTTAACAAATTTAAACGTGACATATTAAGAAGATTATCTTTCCATTAATATTGTTTGCATAAACTCGAAAACTTTCAAATTAATTACGATTATTGTACGTGATAAAGGATAAATCACTTTATCTGTTCCATTGAATAGAAAGGAAACGATGACTCGATTTACGTTAGTGCACAGGAAACATGCAAATAGAGCGATTGTAAGATAATTGCATTGGCCCAGTTATAGCAATTTTGATGTAGTATAACTCGGAAATTACTCAATATAACTCTAGCAAATTTAGTAACATTACAGAAATGTATAATCTTCCACTTAGTAGTGTCAGTTTTCATTCATTTCAGTTAAGAACTTTTCTAAATTCTTTTTAATTTCTTAAATAAAAGAATTTTATTAAAATTTAATTAATTTTTATTGAACGTACTTTTTAAAAATTCTAATAAAAACATTAAATTATAATGTCTTTTTTTACTTTTTATTTGATTTATCAACTTTCATGCAGCTGCTATTTTTAAAAAATTAAATAAAATTACATTTTAATTTGCTGATAAAGTATATTTAAGGTCCATTATTTAAAATTTCATCTCTTAATATTCGAATAAGGAATAACAATTGAAGAGAGATTAAAATTTAAAAGCAGAAATTTCACAAAAATAAATAAATTTTATATAGAAATTAAAAAAAAAAGAAATTACTCGAGTGTAAACACAGCCATATTGGATTATTGAGTGGAAGAACTTTAATATTATTCAGTTAATTCTTAAATAATTCACCAAAAAAAAAAAAGCCTAAATTCTCATGTTCTTGCTTCAATGGAAGCATCTTTAAATCATAAGAATAATTTAAAAATTTAATATATTTTTAATGAGTTTATATCCGAAACTATAGTATTGAATTTTATTAATGTTATTTAATAAAAGGTGATGAAGATGATGAAGAAGAAGATGACGGAACTGAAAAGATGCCTTCTTGTTCAGACTATGTGATACACTTCTTTACTATCTTCTGGAAAGTGTTGTTTGCCTTTATCCCACCTACCGGTAAGGGAAAATATTCAACAATTTCATTCATAACCTATATATATATTTTTTTTCACTTAAAATTTAATTACAGTAGTTTTTTAATTCGTGTTTCAAAGACATAACCGTGTAACAATAGATCAATATTTTAAATCGTTTCCTACGATATTTTAGCACGATAATAAATGATATACTTCGAACTTACAATTATGCAAATCGTGTTTACAACGTTAACTTAATTACAGGTAAATATTCATGGCACCTTATCAAGTTACATGAGAATTAATTCTGTTTTACACTTACGTCTCCATGTTTTATATGTTTTCACTTCATTAAATTTTGTAAAGACAATATTAATTCGATCAGAAATTAAAGAATTAATTATATGTTATGACATTTTTCTTATTTTAATTGATTTTAATTATTTTTTTTACAATAAAAGAGGAGAAAAAAAATTGTTTGAATTGAAGCATGTTACAAATTGTTCCATTAATTTAATAAATTTAATCTCTTTGACAAGGCTTGTCTATAGAAAATTAATAACAAAAAACTTGAAATTTTATTTTATTTTTTATGTTGCAATAGTTATAAAAAATATAGAAAAAATAGAATAAATANGATTAGAATTGTTGTTAAGTCAAACAGGGCCACAGAAAGAATGAGCAACAATACCCACAACACGTCATTTGTGTTTACGAGTAAGGTGAAGGTTTACAGTTGACTTTATTTTGGTTAGAGTAATGGCAGAAGTTGTTCGGATTGCAAGGGCAATGACACATTATAGCTTCATGGGGACAGGAGAGTTTAAATTAGAGGACCCTCATGTACTGTATGTGTTGACTTCAGATATTTTTCTTCGGGGAAAATATTTTCTTATAAAAGATTGGGGAGGGGTCATTTTTTTTACCGATCTCCATACTTTCCCTCTGTTATGGGGGAAAATAGAGTAATGCTATGCCCTAAAGAGAAAACTAATATAACACACTCAAATTTATACAAACATCAAAACTGTATTAGTAAAATATAAGTTTAAAGTGTTCATTACAATTGGGTTTTATTTACTTTACATATAATTTATCCAAAAAAAAAAAAAAATGTTTGAAATACAAGAAACGGATGATATATCATCGTTGTTGGCACTGGTTGCTGTACTTAGCTTACGTGAGCTACATTACTCTTCATCGCAATATTGGATTCTGATGCTTTTTTTTGTTGACTTCATATTGTAAATCAAACAAAAAAGCAGGAATTCGAAGTTAAATATATGCATTTTACATACATAATGATTGAAACTAACAATTTAAAATAATTATGTATTTATCCTCAGTTGAAATTTGCAAAGAGATCACCTCAAAAACAACATACGAACGAAAGATAAAATCTTTGTTTCTGACGGTGACTGTAGACTTATGATGACATTTGCTACCTGGTCACATCAATCAGACATTCACAATACCATTTTGTTTCGAGATACCTATGTGAGCGGGATTGTATATTGAGCGTCGTTGCCAAATTTCTCTTAAATAACTAACAGGAAAGTAAAATGATTAATTTTCAAGTGAAAAATTCGAAGATTATTAATCAAAATTTCAGACAGTATTAAATCAATTTAAAGTAAATTAAATTGAGGACATGTATTTTATTTATTTTTATAAATGAAAATTTTAGTTTTCACCAATTTAAAAACATTACTCTTAATACATATGAATTTGTGTATAATTTATTTATTATTAAGGAAGGTTTTTTTGTTAATATCATTAAGAAAAAGTTGTAAGCTTAACTGAATTACATTTGAGTTTACTTGAGCTTAACTGAATAACTTTTGTTGTTTCAAAGATCAATACTCCATAATTTCTCATTATAGTCTTATTGCAGAAAGTAAATTTATTCAATTTCTATATTCAATGGGTCTTTTTCCTAATTTAAGATTTGGGAGAGGAGTGATTTAACATTAGGAATGTTCAACGAAATTCTGAATTAAAATGCTTTAAAAATTACAAAAAAAGTATTAATATTACTTTGTTTTGCAAGAGCTTCTAAATTTAGAAGATATTTAAGAAGAAAAGCGAAGAAAATTATATTATTCATTGTACTTCCTGGGCGCTTTTATAAAGTATCCAAGAAGTAAATGGGCCTGTACTTGGACAAGTAAGAACTATGTCTTTATATGAAGTTCTTAGAAGTTACCAGCTCTCCCTAAAATATGAAATATATTATTCATTTTTGCACCATAATGAAAATTAGAATTATTTAATTACATTGGGCCTATATTCTCTATTAACAAAGTTATTTCTTAAAGAAGAGCAAACATAACTTACTCTACGCTTTTTATTTCTTACTCGTAAGCTTGCTAATGAAAACGCATTGAAACTTTCTAATTTACAGATTACTTCGGAGGATGGGCATGCTTCGTCTCTAGCATTGCAATTATCGGAGTGCTAACTGCAATTGTTGGAGATCTGGCATCCCATTTCGGATGTACTATTGGACTGCGCGATGCTGTAACTGCTATCTCTTTTGTGGCTCTTGGAACAAGTATACCAGGTATTGCTTCCTCTTAACAACTGATTTTTCTGTACTGACGTTTCTGTGCTTCTAACTTTAAAAAAAAAAAATGTGATTGCTTTCTTTTCTTTGTAGATACTTTCGCTAGTAAAGTGGCAGCATGTAACGATAAATATGCAGATTCTTCAATTGGTAACGTAACAGGTAGTAATGCTGTCAATGTATTTTTGGGAATAGGTGTTGCATGGTCGATCGCCGCGATACATCATTCGCTCAACGGAAGCCAATTTAGAGTACCACCCGGAAATTTAGCATTTTCTGTCACTCTGTTTTGTGCCTGTGCTTTTGTTTGTTGCACCGTTCTACTTATACGTCGTCATCCTGCCGTAGGAGGAGAATTAGGAGGTCCGATGAAGTACAAACTACCAACAACTATACTTTTCGTCGGTTTGTGGTGCTTCTACGTCCTCATGTCTAGCTTAGAAGCTTATGATATTATCGAAGGATTTTAAAAGAAAAATCGTGGATGACTTGAAGATTCTCTCTCTCTTTTTTCATCAAATGGACACGTGTCTAACATATCTCGGGTGCCACCTTCTACAATAAAAGAATAGAGCACGACCTCAAGTTAGAATGGGTTCGTGGTAGTAAAAAAAAAACAATATATAATATATATACAAAGTAAGGATTTAAGATTAGTGCCTCTTCGTGAAGGACCGAGTCCTTTAAAAAGTTGTATATGTATATATATATATATGTACACTCAAGTATATATATATATACATGTATAAAATATATCATGAAGCTTCCTCTTGTACATAACGGCTGAGGATACAGCCCGATGATAGTTGTAGTTCAAGTACGTCTTGAAAAATACAAAGAAATATATATATACAAATCCTTTTACTCTATTCAAGCTATTTCAGTGAAGCGTAATCAGGAAATATTTACAAAAAAAAAGTTACTCTTCCCTCTTTAAAGTGCTAAATTCATAAATAGGGTACTGTACTGTTCACTCGCGAGTACCGAGTCAACGAATTTGTTAAAACACCTGCTTTTTCTCTGTCGTTTATTATCGCAGGTGGAAGCTAAGTAGTTAATGAGAAAGGTATTCGCTTGTGTTTATTTTATAAAAGTTATTATAATGAGCATATTTTTTATATATGTGTATAGTAAACACTTCCTTTTATTGGAAATTCGTTTGATTTATTCTACTTAAAAGAATATTTTTGTTTGTTTACGTTACGTTGGTTCGATACTACGTATTTTTCGGGTATCTTTTTATTGGTTGAGTATAGGGCTCTTGTTCCTAAAGGTCTTAAACCGGGCCAGGTGGCACCTGAAAGAGTTGTTCTAGTTATAAAAACGGTAGTTGTAGAGTAATTCTGGTCTCATTTTTAAAGTAATTTGGGTTGGGTAATCATTTTATGAATGTTCACGGCTACACACCACATAATTTTGTGGTTAGTTTATTCATAGTGCCTAGGCAAATGTATAAAGAAATCAGCAGGGAGTGACATTTTAAGGATAACTTTCCTTATTCTTAGATCCTTCTGTATATCATGTTCAACAATCACTCAATCTCTTTGTTACAACAGATGAATAGTTTTGACTATTTCTGATGTTCGTGGATTCTTATACTTATCTTCAAAACTAATTAAACTAAAAAAATATATATATATACCTATATATATTATACACATTTCAGGTTTCGATTCGGATGCAAACGATGTCAAAGTTCAATCTCGTTTTATCCCAAACAATTAAATTTTTTGGTGTTCATCAAATTTTTGATGTTTGTAAAGTTGTCCATGGGTATTTCATAATATCTGTAAAAAAAACAAGAATAAAATAATATTTAAATTTATCTTTATCATTAAAAACAATTAGAATTTATCTTGAAATATATTCTAAGAATCTTAAATGGTTTAACCGATGGTTTAACAAAAGTTTTTAGGTTATATACCACTGCCTTTATAAGAAATTTTTGGAATTCTGATTGAGGCAGGAATTTAGAATTTATTAAAAACCGAATTAAGACTTTATAATGTTTTATTAATTTAACACTTTTACTGCCCGAAGAAGATTTAATTGACTAAACTAACAAGCAATCCAGTAGGAAACAATGTAAAATTCCATCACTGTAATACTTGCTTTGAAGAAATATCAATGTTTTAAAGAATAATAATGTATTTCCTAACACTTTTAAAACATATCTCTTAGTAAATAACTACATCTTTTTATGATTCAACTGATTCTTATAGAAGCCTTGATGATAAATATGTTGTATTTCAGTTTACAACATTCTTAAAGTGAATTTTATGGAATAAAACAATTAAAATTAACAAGAACAATCTTTATTCGCTTCTTTAAACTAGAAAAATTAGTGAAATTCACGATAAACCTGTCATTCAATATGAATTTTTGATATTGAAAGTGTAGTTACTGATATTGAATGTAATGTATAAAAACAATTCAAGATTAACTCGAGAAAATCTTTTTACATGTGGATTCAGTCAAAGACTACTTTCGGCGACTGTAAAGGCAGTAAAAATGTTAAAATAAGAAAAATAATACTAAAATATTGTGTGAGAATTTCGATTTTATTTGAATAATGAAGATCCTTTTCTCAAAATTGAAATAATTTGAAAAGAAAAAACAAAATGAAATCTGTTGATATTAAAGAAAGAGTGTTGATCTGTTGGAGATGTTTACTTTTCGACTTAACCAGTTATAAAATATTATTGACATTTAAGTTTTGGGATAAAGATTTACATTTTCATGTTATCGTTTAAAAAAAATAAATAAATAAATGCTCGTTGTTAATATAATTATATTGTTTAATTGTTATATTTGTGAAATTTTATATCAAAATTTGCAATTTCCATAGAAAGTTGATGTGACATTTTAACTCCTTTATTATCTCCTTGCTGCTTCTTTACTTTGATGTTCTTCTCGGCGATAATATTTAAGTTTGTTACTTAATTACACTTTCTTTCATCTTTAACTCTTTTCATAAACAATTTCTTTCACAAAAACTATTTTCTATTCAATTTAAATGTAATAATATTACTTCTTTCAACTCTTGTACCATACGCCTGTACCTTACTTCTTCCACTTTGTTTTTTTTTTTAATTTAAACTACTTTGTATAGAATTTTTAATTACAAGTTTATTTAAAACTTTGTACAATTTCTCAGATGAAATAATTATTTTAAACGTCATACTATTAAAATCTGTAATTAAAATAATAATATTAATAATAATAATCATAAAAATCGGTTTTAAACAAAGAAAAAATAATAATTATGATTATAGAAGAATGTGCCATGCTTAATAAACTGTATGAAGTACATATCTTGTACAACTTAGGCTGGAATGAAGTAGATACTTTCTTCAAATAATAAATAGAATCATAGAAGGTGATTTCTAAACTATGCATTCTTAGACTCTATTTGGTCTAAAGATAGTTATTGAAAAAATACTTCTTGTCATTTTATGTCCCAATATTTATGTGTGAATTGAAAAGAATTAAATTAACATTTTAAGAAGCTTTATTGCTGTAAATAATAATTAATAATAATAAAAAAATTAATAATAATTAATAATAAATAATTCGGCCGAGTACGGAAAATTAATGTTCAGATAATCATATTTACTACTCATAGAATTCAAAGTAAAGAAAAATAAATAAATAAGCAAAAGATTTCTTCCTAAGCTTTTTTCCCAATGGTTAATAATTTATTCGTGTTGTGATCGAAAAAAAAAAGTAAAAATAAAATAATAAAGCTGCCAGTATTCAGGGGCGTGCTGATGAATTAGAAAATAAAGATCCATTGGGTCATGCCAATATTGAGATACTCGGAATTATCGGCGTGTTGGTGACAATATTAACGGATTTTTGAGTAATCAGAGCAGTTAGATTAGTATCTAGAAACCACAATTCGCTCTATTTTACTCAAACTATAACAGATGCATGAACGTGTTGAGCCGAAAAGGTACAACTAAGTATGAAAGTACTCCGCAACGGGTCTTCAGATAGGCGAGAGGCTATAAAAATTAAAGAAACGGTGCTAAAATATACAGGAAAAACCGATTAAAACGTTATAAAAGTGAAGATCTTACACGTTCCAGCAATTTAAATGGTGATTATAGTATACAAAACATGAGAAAAACACATTCTCCACCCACCCAATTCAGCACGCCCCTGCCAATATTGTTGTGAAACATTCTATTTTAATATATATATATATATATATATATATAATGGATAT